AATCGTCGAAAACTATACAGTGCTGCCAAGTTTTTCCGTTTTAATACACTAGTCGAGTGGAAATTTTAGGCAATGACGTGCAATTTTCGATACGATTCGCCTCTCAAAAAACGACTGGCATTCGACACGACTCTCGCAATGAGAGTGAATATTTCCGTTATCCTCTAAGCGCTCTTACCTCGTCCACTTTTGGCAGCGGGCCACACTGGCTGGCTGTCATTAGGGTAAAAAGCAGCAGTGCAACAATGGCAAAACTGTGAAACACTTTCGGCAACATTTCCCCGCTAAATATTTGCAGTTATTTATGATTTATTATGTTTGTTTTGCGCTTTTGAATTTCGCTGGTGGCTCCAAATGTATGTTCGTGTGCTTGTATGTATTTAATCCTTTTAGTGCTGAGTTTGCACAAAAAAAAAAATCACTCTGCTTTCAACTATGTGTGTGCATGAAAAGAATATTTACTTTAAACGACTTTTTAAACTTTACAAACAGTTCTTTGTTCACTAATGTGTTTGCGCGTTCTGCTCTTTTTTCGTTCTTTGTTTTGCAATACTTTCTTCCGCTTGGCGTTTAATGCTTTCCCTATTTTGCTTTTTGATTAAAATTTTTCTATATAGTTTTTTGTTTACTTCTGTTCGCCAATTTTTTTTTATTTTTCGGCACCAAACACCGTTGTATGTATGTATGTATTTTTACTTGTTTACTTTTGCTTCAACAATTTTCTTTCTCGTGCATGCCGCATACGCCACGTTGTACCGCCGCCGCGTTTAGACTTTTCTGTGTTCTGAGCGCGAATGACAAATTCAAATTATCGGACATTCTGCTGCATGCGTCCCAATTTATATGCGAGCACCGATGTTCGCATTGTTTGCACGACCAGTGCGACTACCTACAACGAGCACGACAGCAGAGATAACTGCCACAGTCGTAGTGACAGCCACAGCCACAACCGCAGCCGCAGTCAGAGCCAGAACCAGAGCCACTGCTTCTTCGTCTGCCTCTCCGTCGTTGGCCACTGGTATCTGCTTTAGTCTGTGAGGAGGTTGAGGTGCAGTTAGTAGTATCGCACCCGCAGCTACAACGTATGCGCTGTGTTGTTGCATAGTGGCTGAGCTAAGTTGCATAGTGGCGCTGATGGCTGTGTCTGCATTCGCTTGTTTTTTTTTGCTGCCGCCCAGTCAATGGCCATTGCGTTTATCTCCGTTTTCTCGAACTCTTTCTTCTCCTTATTGTTTATCTGCAGCGTTTTTTATTTCCTCTTTGCCATTGTTTACAACTTTTTCGCACGTCCCGTCATCAATGTGCTTTTTTATTTAATCTTTTGTTTTGCTTTTGCTGTGCTGTAAAATGTTTTTGCCACTTGTTTATCACACTTTTATGCTCCACTTGCATGTCCAGTGTATTTGTGTTGGCATATTTGTTGTTGCAGTATATATTTATTTATTTGATTCTGTTTATTTACTTCGTTGCTTTGCCGGCGGCAGCACGCTGCCCAGCTGCCCAGCCGCGGTGATTGTTTTCTTCCTCCTTTTTTATGCGATAATGCAATAAAGAGCAGCATATTTTGTTGCCTTCCGTAAATTTTTTGCAATATTTTGCAATATTAACAGGCAGCGTAAATAGGAGAGACGAAAGAATTTACTTTTGGTAACTTTTTTCAAGCATAACACTAACCTGACCTTTTTGCATCGTTTGATTATGTTTCCCGTAGAAAATTTGGCGTAAACTTGGTTCTGTCCTAACGGGAAACTAGCATCGCTCAAAAACTTCTCGGAATCGAGCTGTAAGTTATTGAAAAGTCTTTCCTCCTCCGGCATTTTCCGTTAGATGACAACCTATTCATTCCCATCAATTCATCGTCTTTCTAACTCTTCTGGTTATCCGGAATATCCACTGAGCGGCAGCGAAGCCGGCATCGAAGAGCTGGCAATTTAATCTGATAAATACGGGCTCGAAATTTGAAATCTCATTGAACTTTGCCCAATCCAATATAATGAAGTTTGTCGCTTACAGCTCCATACAAATTTTAAGCGCAGATACGTATGCATTTCCAAAAGCACGCCTAATACCTCATCTAAACCCAAGTTCCGGAGAAAGTTCAACAGTACCTTTGGTGCTAGGGAGTGAATGTGCATAAGCTGTGGCTACATCGAGCATAAACTTCTCTCACGTCTTCTGCAGACTGCATCACACTCGGCGAGGATGTGTAGAGGTGTCTCGCTGGTTAGGGTTATGATTTGGAGGCGTAATACCAGTAGGCAATCTGACTCGCCACCGTCCCAAAGAAACCAAAATCCGCTGACGTATGTAGATGACTTTGACACCGTCGGCCTTAATACCAAGGCTGAGGACGGAGCATTTTACAACTTAGAGAAGGAAACAAAAAGTTGGTCTAGCGATAATCGAGGAAAAGACAAAGTACTTCGTGGCAATATACCAAGGGTCTGCGCGCATTGGTAAACACGTCACTGTTGGCAGTCATAGCTTTGAAGTAGTGAAGGACTTTGTCTACCTAGGATTCAGTGTAAACTCAACCAGTAATATCAGCCCAGCGACGAAGCAAAAAATAACTCTTAGATTTACTATTTTGGGCTTAGTATGCAATTGAAAATCAAATCTCAAATTATTACCCTAATTTTATAAGGGCAATTTTTCATGGGCGACGGGCACCGAAGAAGATATATCGACACCCAAGAGTGGAAAGCAAAGGCAACCTTGAATACAACTAGATCAACTTTGGCAAAGGAGGAAATCGTCGAAGGGTTTTGGGTTCGGCTGAAAGTATTCCCACTCTGGCCCTTAACGTCATGCTTGACATAGCACCTGTCGATATCGCAGGTAGAGCCGCTGTAGAAAGTGTGGCAGTCAGACTAAGGGGCATTGGTTGCCTGACTGACTCGGAGTCTTGACACACTAGCGTTTTCGGAAGCTTCGTTTTCATCCCTGATAACTTGGATCAGTGCGTGTCTAGCCCGGCACCAGCTAGCTTTTACACGGTTGGGACGGAAGATTGGGTGGAGGAGTCTTTTCTAGGGAGCTCTGCGGCAACCTAAAATTTAAACTTCCTCAGGCGAAAGTTGCTGCTTTCAAGGAAGCAGTCGATTGGCTGCTGTTGGACGCTCTGACTGTAAGAAAGGTTAAAATCACCTCAGACAGCCAAGCGGCAATCAGAGCCTTGGACTCAGTGACGATAGGCTCGAAGTTTGTTGAGAAATGCCTTCACCTGCTTTCAATGGCACGGCATGATATCGCAGGGAACTGTGCGGCTCATGAATTGGCCAGAGATGGCGCCCTTTAGGCAATATCGCCAAGAGAAGAGAGACTGGGAGCTCCTTTGACTAACTTGTGGATGTTTCATTCTAGTCGAGGGTGGACTGGGGCGGTCTAAGGATCTCCTTAGGCTCGCGAAGCCGGATCTCTCAATTATTGTAGGTGTACTGAGTGGCCACTGTCCTATCAGGTTTCACGCGGTGGAGAACCCTAACCTAACCTAACTAAGGTTGCTGCAGCAGTTGCCCCATTTGTATTCAGCCTAAAATTTCTGCATACCTTTCCTAGTTTTGTGTTACAAGTACAACAAATTTTTGGATGAGTTTATTTTTCGTCGCTGGCACGTTACTGATCACTTTATTCCAACTTTAACTGCCGCTAGCAACGATGCCGGTTGTTGCGGCAGTAGGTTCATATCTTGCGCGCCTAATTGTTGCAATTATTTGCATACAATAAAACCGCCTCAGCAGCTCAATGCTGTGGATATAAATAAGTAAGTACGTGTATGCGTTGTACTGTATTTTTTTGCGCTCGCCAAGCGTCTATCTTCTGCGAAATTAGCACTCATTACATTATTTATTATTTGATATTTCCTCTTCTTGTTCTCCTTCTCGTTGTAATTGCAATTCCAACTAACTATTTGAATGCTGCAGTCCATGACTTGGTTGCGTTGCGTTGCGCTTGTGCTTAATTATTTATATAGCAGGTCAAACGCATTTTATGACTGTCATTTCATTTTCGTTTTAATATCAATAAAGATGGGTATTACTCATATGGCTGTGGCTGTGTGCGCAGCCACCCACCTCGCATGTGTCGGAAGAGTGTCTTTAACTTTAGTGACTAAAGTTAAACTGGTCGGAGAGAATAGTTGGGGGGTTGGGGTGTTTAAGTGGATAGTCAATTTGGAAAATTAATTAATGCACTTAAGTCAGTCATATGAACACACGAACATATCGCCAGAGCAGCGTATATTCGAGTTGCTCCGTTTATTGTTACCGTTTCGTACTTGAATTGGGGCACTTTTAGGGAAATTAGTAATCCACTTTCCACGAAATACTCGGCATTTACTCATGTGGTGGCTACACACCCAGCAGCTAACTCAAGGCGTTGTGTCATTCACCGACATTCAAGCTGGTTGACACCGACGTCGACGTCGACGTCAACGTCATATCAGTCGTCATGTTGTTGGGTTAGCGCGCATTCCGCTCGCCTTGTAGCAGCTTCCGCAAGCAACTTCACGTTTCGTCTAGTTTTAACCAGCTTCTTACCTACAAACATACTTACATACATACTTACATTCGAATGGCTGTGTTTTCCTCAAAGCGTGCAAAATCTTTCTCCTGAATCATTATCGCTTTGCGGCGAGTTTGCTATCGCTTGACATTACAACAAGCTTGCTGCGAATGAATGTAATAATTCATGTAAAAAATTACGTAAATATATTAAGTAAAAATTTTGCGCTCGCGTGCCTTGCTTGCTTCTTAATGGCTTTAGATCCTTCCACTTTGCAGTAGTCAATATTTGCTTATAATTTTTGGTTTTAAATATTTATTTTTGAGACATCAATAAATTTTTAAAAACTATAAAGTCCGCTATTTCAGTATTTTTTATAGTTATGCTAAAATAAGTGTGTAATCAATTATTTGGAGTGGCTTATCAGACACTATCGCCTCGCAAACTTCGACCCTTTCGCAAATGTGGCTGCCAAATCTCCTTGCACGCGTACTTATTTTCGTGCTCATATATTTAAGTATGTATTTATGCATGTGAAAGTGTAGTTTATAATTTATAAATTTCATAATTTATAGCCTGACCAAAAACAGCTGGTCTGTCACTTTCAAAACAAATTTAATTAGCTGATTAAAGTATTTTTAAAATTATCTATCACCGAATTTATACACGTACATACATGTGTACATATGTGTATGTATGTATTTATTTATTGTATGAAAAAAAGAGATCACAAAGTTCGCTCAAGGTGCAAACAATTTCTAATATATTTTCTTTTTTTTCTTTTTTGAAGCACCATATATTTTCGAATGGCGCGAAGGTAGCAGACTTATACCTGGATTTTAATTTTATTTTGATGCAGTTTACTTTTACTTGACACGTTGATCATGGATCCACAGTCTGGCCCCTAAATTTCAGAGGACTTAATTTCCAACTTTTTATATCTGTACATACATATAAGGTTTTAAAGGAACCAACTTTTTATTCTAAATTGTCACGGTTTTCGCCATTTTTCAACAATTTTCTGTGGAAAATAATTGGCATCTTCAAATGCCAAAGTTGTAGAGAATTTCATTCTCCAAAACTTCTGTAGGTAGGAACATTTTTTTTGTACGACGCTTAGATCACGACGGGACCGAACATGCCAAACATAGCGATGTAAGGGAAGCGGCGTAAAATTCATTTCCCCATCACGTCAACCGGTAAAAGTACGATGGCCAAAATTCTATAGGACGAATTACAAAGATTAAGGCCTTAAAATGGTCACATGGATGCTTTAGCATATTACCATTAAGATGAAGATCACCGCCTAGGGTCATATAATACTACCCCTAAACCTCCTCGTCAGTTTTTGACCACCTCTGTACCACCTTCGGCTTTGGTCCCAGGCCGCATTGCTGCCAAATAGTGGAATTACATTTTAAATCCTCCAAATTTATTTTTACGGTTTTCCACCTGTGCTGCTACTGCTCCAAACTGCTGATCACTGACGCTGATGCTCCCACTCAAATAATGATCGCTTGGCCTGCCATCCATGTTGAATGGGAAGATAGGACTTTGCTTTAATTGGGGTCAGAATACTCTGTTATATCTGGAGGAGAACCGGCCATATGTCATTCGCTCCTGGGTTTTTGTATTGGCTAACCCAGCATTTTTTCCCATTGTACTAAAGTGCTTGTTATCTTTTTCGCAGTGTGTCTGTGTTAGGGTTGTTCGACTTTACTGCAAAGTCGACTTTCGACTTTTCGATCGAGTCTGTAGAGTCGGCTTTAGAAGTCGACCGATCGACGACGAAAAGTCGACTTTATCGACTTTAGAACAATCTCTAATCTAGTGAAATTCACTAACAAGACAGACAGACACTAAGGGCCAAATTCACAGTGCGTAGATAACCATTGACGAGAGTTTAACTATCGATTTTGATATTCAAAATGCTCAGTTAACAAAACTTTAAATCAGCAGGCCCCATAATTAAACTCTTATAACATAATATTTTTTTTTCAAATTTGTATAGAATAACATTGATGTTGAAGGGGGCACAATAAATCTTAAGGTCGCAGTGCTTTATACCCAACTATAATAATATTGATCTTTAGAATTTGTATATTTTCAGGCGATATGAATTTCCATAAATACATAGTTAAACTCTAGTTGGTGGTTAAGTTAACAATGGTTTAACTAAGCACTTTGAATTCGGCCCTTAGTGTCTGTCTGTCTTTTTATAAATTTATTTTTCTTGAAATTTGCCATTTTCGCAAATTTCAAAAGTTTTTTTTCTCAAAAACTGGACGTGCTGGAAAAATCTCTAAGATGAGGTCGGTCCCGTTTTTGAGATAAAATGTGGGCAAATTTTGTTGAACTGTGTATTTTATTTTCTCAATTATTTTCATTGCGCGTGATTTTGCCACTCAGGTATCCGTCCGCAAATCGCGTCGATTTGTTTACATTCATTTTGTGGATTGCACAAAGCATGCATGCTTATGTATGTAGCGCCAGTGCTCGGCTGAACGCAGCAGTTGGAAAGGCCGCATATAGCTCGGAACACTTTGACGACAGCAAGCGACAAGCAGCATCTGTCAAATTTTAAATACACACGTTCTTACGGACCCAATTATTTTGACGACAGCACGACATCTTGACTGCAGGACTGCAATTGTCGACGTCGCCAAATTAAATCTATTTCTAATTTTGCCGGCGACAATGAGTAGATGTAGTGCTGCAAAATTAAATTGTCGCAAAATTAATCACATATTCTTGATTGTTCATGTTTTTCTTATTTACTTAAATAAAAATACACAATTTGTGAAATAAATATACCAAAATGTCAAACTTTAAAATCAGCTGTTTGCTATGTCGCTGAGGTCTTCAAAATGTTTAAGAAGCTGGCTTCAAGGCGACATTTGTCGACAAAATGATGTCGCTGTCGTTACGTCGTGAAGTTGCAGTCGTCAAAGTGTTCCGAGCTTAAGTCTGCGCTTATTGACTTCTTAGAATTGCGTTTTAAAATTATTAATAATCTATCGTCTAAAAAACAATAAAAAAAATATCCTTCGATTGACGCGAATTCTATTGTCGTAATTTCGCTTGGTGGCATTTTTTGTAAGTGACCCCAGCGATAAGTTTTCCACCGATTGATAAATGTTCACGTGTGTACTTTTTCATTTAAAACATTGCTAAAAAAACTCAAAGAGCAATATCGATTGTAAAACTGTGCTTTATGGACTATTTATAAAAATACGTATGTATGTATGTATGTATGTATGTACATTAGGGTGGTCCAAAAAGAGTAAAGTCGGAATTTTACTGCTCTCACCCCCTAGGATTGTTCTATATCGAAAAAAATTATAAATCTTTTATTTTGAAATCAAAAAGTATTTAGAGATCGCTCAAAGCCCTCAAAGTTTTCCTTGCATTTTATATGGGAAAAACACAACTTTTCGTAGAAATGGTATAGAATTCTTGAAAATCAATAACTCAGTCCTTTGAAAACTTTGAAAAACTCAGGTTCTTTTCAGGAGACTTTCGATAGTAATGCTCAATTGTTTATATAACCATTTTCGGAGTTTTTCGGGGTTTTTGATGGACTTTAAAAATAATAGTTACTATGGAAAAATGGTTGAATAAACAATTAGATATTATTATTGGGTATCTCCTGCAGAGGATTAGAGTTTTCCGATAGAAAAATTTTGATTTTCAAGATATCTTTACCATTCCTACGAAAAGTTGTTTTTCCCATATAAAGTACGTGGAAAACTTTGAGCGATCTCTAAATATTTTTTGATTTCAAAATAAAAAATCGGGGTATATTTTTTTCGGTATAGATGAATCCTAGTAGGTGAGAGCACACAAATTCCGACTATACTTTTTCACAAGAATTTTGGACCACCCTAATGTGCATACAAATGAATCGAGATATCATAAGCATATCACTAACAACTAATTAATCAAACTGTTATAGCCAAAGAAAAAAGACCGGAGAGGTCGGTTTCACCCTATTTCGGGTATGGGGAATCGAACTGCATCATTCGTTTTTTTTTAATTTTCCACACGCCTTCATACAAAATTCCTTTCAGAAAATTTTGACTCCAAAGGAAATTTTTCGGGTGTTGTGCTCTATTTTGGTGGTTTCTAATTTTATTTATTTCGTTTCTGAAAAAAAGTTATTTCATAGATGTTCAGATGTTTTGTGAATAAACCAAACCCTTAAGGATTATTCTTGAATTTTAGGTAGAAAATCCGAAAGCAGTGATACATAAATATATCAATTACACTTGCACAAAAAAAAATTTGTAAACCAAAACTTAATTTTTCATGCAAAGTTAGGATGAATGTGTATTCCCGTGATTTTGGGCCGCTGAAACCGAAAATTACTAAAAAAAATCAATTAGACCCTTCCGTATTTGTGTCCACAAATTACAAATCTGTAGTAAAAACATATGTACTGCCAGGAAAAAGTATTGTACAGAGAATTTTTCACAATAAATATAGAGATTTATATTACAAATTTATTCCGCTCATTTTTATAAAAGTACAATTTCTAAAATCTATGCAAAACTTAGGAAAGTTCGATGAAAATGCATGCAGATTTGCAAATTTTTAGTACAATAAAGTGCAAATTTAATGTAGCTAGGATTTACCGCTAATTTCTGGCAATTTTTTTCACGTTTGGAAGAAATCCATTAAAAAAATTTCGAAAATACTTTTAATGAAAAAAAAATGCGAAGCACCTTCGACAAAAAAATTCTAAAAAATCAACGCGATTTTTTAACAACTTCAAGCTTGCACTTTTTGATACTAAAATTGTAGTGGCTATAAATCTGCATACATATTCGAAAAAATTCGAAAAACCAGATTAAAAAGTTGAAAATCTGTATGTAATTTTATTGAACTTTCCTGAGTTTTGCGCAAATTTTAGAAAGTATATTTTTTTGTTTTTTGTTGTGGTATAAACTATATTATTATAAAAAATTAGCCGGGAAAAATTGAAAAAAATTTGTTTGCATATATTGTGAAAAATTCTCTGTGCCAATACTTTTTTCAGTGTGGGTATGTCCCATTTAAAAGGATGGACTTCCGGTCTGTTTAACTCTTTTCCGGAAGTCGGTAATACGGCCAAAAGCTAGAACATCTTCGAATTGGTAATTCAAATATCGATGGTTAAGTAGAAGATCGACCTATCTCGGCAGCCAGTTCGAAAACGCTCTATATCAAAAAACTTTTAAAGAACGCCCTACTTCAGAATTTAATTGAAAAACACCCTATCTCGAAATTCGGTTCAAAAACGCCCTATCTCACTTCAAAATGTATTGAAAATATGCTGATAGAGGGCGTTCTTGAAAAGTTTTTTGAAATAGAGCGTTTTCGAAATGGCTGCCGAGATCGGTCGATCTTCCACTCAGCCATCGATATTTGAATTTTTCAATAAAAAACGTTTTGCTCCATTTTAGTCTGTGACACCCAGTATACATATGCAGTGTTAAGTATGGTTAGGATAGATTTTAACTGTTTTTTAGGCCCGACCCATTCTAGTGCACATAATTAAGGGCCTTTTTAAAAAATATTTCGTAATCGGAAAGAACATTTTTAACAATTTTCAATATTTTGGTTATTTTTTTTTTTATTCCAGCTAATTGACATGTCCACCCACACAATGCCGCCTCTAAATCTCCTAGCTGCCGATTTTGTGAAATGTTTCTTGAAAACCGCTGATTTAGTAGCGAAAGAAGATAAAACCACCGATGAAGCGGAGACGTTGAACAACACAGCAAAGACAAAGTACAAGAGGAGAAAAATGCTGAACGGCGGTGCTGGTGCTGCTTTTATGAATGGTCATGGCGGCAGTGACTCAGATGACGAGAGCGATGATGATGATGAGGAGGGCGAAGCGAAAAATGCAAATGCGAGCTATGCCAATCACTCCACCTCAGCCATTGATGAAGATGTGGAAATGGTGGACGAGGCCACAGCGTTAAAGAGGCGCAAGAGTTTGCTAGTTAAAGGTGAGCAAATGAGTGCGGCGGCGACAGTACCGCAACGGAGCGACAACGAAGCACAGCTGAAACGAATTGCAGCGTCGAGCTTGGAAGTAGAATTTTAGAATCAAAATTGATTTAACTGAAATGAGTTTTACATAAATTAAACTACTACAATCTGATGCAAACGGAGTGCGATTGTTCGCAAAATATTAATAAGTCAAAAGTGTACGTTTTTGTTTTTTTTTGATGAATTGCATACGAATGCAGTTTTCATTACGTTTACTTCATGTACAGCTAAATTTTGCTTCAATAGAAATAACGTTTGCTAATTTACATCTGGACTTAAACTTAAAGTTAATGACTGCAATGAAATATTTTTAATAAATCTGATGTAATTACGTACATATTCGTGTTCTTTTCGATTTTTAATTTACATAAATTCAAATGCACCCTTAAGCTAGACATATAAATGAGTATCGTAGCATAACAGTTAATGAAATATTATTTACAAAAAAATTTCCTTTTAAAAATGTAAGGTGCACTTTTACAACAGCACTAGTTTTTAAAAACTATAGCCGCTAATGCAATCAAATGTACACACATACATACATACATACATAATTACGATCTAGTGTATGTATATGTAGTGCGTCGCCGATGCAATAACCTCAAATGTGTATAGCAAATAAAAAGTGCTATTTTGAAATGAATTCAATAGGTTTATGTGATTTTGTTTTAAACTACATCTGAGGCCTTGAGCGCCAGAGTGGCCTAGCTGACATTTAAAAAAAAAAAAAGTTGAGGTGCACCTTAAAATGCATTACTAGAATCGAAGCGGTAATAGCCCAAGCCACGTACTTTTAGTTTTCTTTTGCTATAATCACGTAGGTGCAATGAACTTTTTAGTAAAAGACCGCATTTATTTTTTATAGATCCTTCTTTCTCACATTATTAAAAAAAAAAATGTTTGTAGATAGGCTCCTCTGGCCCTTTAAAAACATCTATGTATTTCTTCTGCAAATCAAATTAATTTTCCTCTTCGACTAATGAATCCAGCATGCGCGAGCACATTGTAGATCTCCGCGCGTGGTATTTTCTCCGCCTGCCGTTCGTAGACCTGCAATCAAAATAAGCAAGCAATTTGCCATGTTACCGAATGCTTCAAACTTAATTAAAAATTGTAAGCAGCTATTTATAATTACCGGTTCCTCGCCTGGTCCGAACCAACTTGACTTGGCTAGCACTTCACGTACGCGTGGCGTCTTGTAGAAAGGATTTCTCAGCGCATTGGGCAAGGACTCTTCGTATGCGTCATTTTCGATAACAGCAATATGTGCATACCGCTGCGGACGTGCCAAGACATTCGAAGCAGCAACGAGCAGTAGCAGAATGACAAAACAGACATTGTAGATGCACCTCGTAAACCTGAAATAAAAAAAGGATGGATGAGTTGAAATTTGTTCTCGGATACTCCGCACAATGTACATGAATATGTACATATGTAATATGTAGTAGGTAAATCTACGTTGTAAGCATACACAAAAGCGATCCTCAAGAAAAGCCGACAGAAGCAGCCACCCCCCTTTCAACAACAGAAAAGGTTCACAGGCGCACAGCGGCGCCCAGCAACTACAATTTGTAAGGAAGAAACTGCGTGAAAAAATTGCCAAAAATCAACGCGATTTTTTAGCAACTTCAAACTTGAACTTTGGTATACTAAAATTGAGTGGGGTTACAACTGCATACATGGAATTTTTCTAAAAAAATCTAGTTGTAAAGTTGCAAATAAGTATGCAAATTTATTGAATTTTCCTGCGTTTTGCAAAAAGTTTAGAGATTTATTTTTGAGTGGCTTTGTACATAGTATGAACTATATTTTTATAAAAAATTCCTACGTTAATTAGAATAAAAAACTTTGCATACATTGGGTCGAATTTTCTGTGCCAATACTTTTGTCTGGCACTGTATATCATTCGAAAAGTCTGTTTATGCTGAAGGGAAGATAATTAATCAAATTTCAAATTAGTTTAATATAAAGCGAAAAAATTAATTCTAAAATGGCAAATACTAATGCATGTACGTATATATGGCGACTTAAATAGCTCATAAATGTATACTTTACTATTGATGCTCAATTAAGGAAACGTGCTAAGCAACGACTTAAACCTTTCAGTGTCGAAAAAATTTTACGGTAATCTAAAAATCTAAAAGTTTGTATATCAGGAAAAGTCGATCCCCTGACGATGAGCAACAAATATTTTTTTTTGTGGAAAGTTTATCGTTTAAAAGTTGAAGCTTGACAGGGCACCCCAAATTTGTAAAAATTGTTTAAACCACAAATAAACACTTAAAGACTACCAAGTTTAATTCAGCCTTATTTGCATATGGTTTCAGTAAAATATAAACAAAAAATATTGGTTTTGATTTTAAAAATTTATTCTGGTTATCACATTTATATACTCGTGAGTTTATGAACTAGGACTTTTTACCTGTGGAATAGTCATAACTAGGGAAGACAAAAATATGCACAAAAAACTTAATAATATGGTTATTAAAATGACTCCATAATATTAAAAATATGCTTATATATGCCCCAAAAATGCATACGTATAACTGAATTTTTTTTGATCATCGCATAAAAAATGTTATAACTACATACATGCAGTATTCCCCGGTTAATTGATTTCCCCGCTTTTTTGAATTACCGTATCGGTAAAAAAATATATTCACAAAAAGGAGAAGTTATCACGTTAACCGATTTTTATAATTCTTTTTTTAAAGGAAATGTGTTACCTCACAGGTGGTCCCATAATAATTTTGTTTAAATCCGAAAATTGGATCATGAAGAAATTAACGATAATCTTAAATTTTTATATGAGAATTGAAGTCGGTTTTGTTTTTTGCTTAAAAAAATACTTGTTTTTATAGAAATTATTTCTAAAAATATGTGGACAAGTATACATACTTACGTAAAAATATAATTTTTTTTGTATTACTTTATTTTTTCATTTAAAGTTTAAACTACATATATAAATGTCATTAAATTTTAAAATGCTTACATGCATTATCTTTTAATTGATTAGGTTGTCCAATTTAGCGGAATTTCTGTTTAATTAAACGAGTATCGGTTAATTGATTCTCCGGTTAATTGAACCAAAAATTGTTCAATTGTTGAAGGGCAAATTTATAGAAAATAACGGGACTTTCCATTGTTTGTCAGCCTTTTCTTTTTGTCAATTAATGAGTCGATTACGGATTGCAGTTGGGTGGCCAGTGGCTGAAATGGTATAACTGGTGGCAACTGGCAACTGAAAGCTGGCAAACGAGTTGCTATATTGGCAGCTGCATTTTTGTGGTTGCCGCAGAAGCTTTGATTGAGATAATTTATTTCTTTTTTCAACTGGTACTTCAGCTTATTTACACTCAAGTCTTAGTTGGTGGTTCTTCAAAATTTTATTACCTTCAACTTTATAGAACTTAACTATAGTTGCTATTCATAGTGTACATTTTAATTTCAGTGGCGTTGCCCATCGCCAACCCAACTGCGGCTGCCTTGTCATCCATAATCGACCCACAAACAAACCTCATTGGCAACCCTGGCTATCTCCGCAGATGAAATTATGCGAAAATTAAATCACTTATTACCAAAATAATCATTTTTATGCGTTTTTATGCTTTTTCGCCAAAGTAAATATGTATTTTGTGTCATAAACACACTTTGTTTTTTTTAGCTGAATAACGGTAAATTCCAAATATCTCGAAACTTCATACTTAGAATAAAAATTTACTCGATTTTCAGAATCAGAAACGATTTGCAGGTTTTTACAGGAAGTCGTTCCAGGTGACCACCTTCCATAAGGTTTATTAATGGAGAAACCAGCTGTTCCTGCAAATCGGGAATATCGTGAAGCATCTGGAACGCAACTAATGCAAACTGATGTTTAAGAAAATGGCCTATTTTTTATTGTTGAAAATATATGTGGCATAAGTTTTAGTTTGATGAGATGAATGTTAGAAAAGATGTAATAGTTGTAATAACTATTCGTGAGAACCTATTCACACGATTCAAATAGTAATTTAATTTGATTTGATACGGAGCAATGTAGTGGTTATTTTGTTCCAAAAGTTTTGTATTATTGCCGAAAAAGAATAAAAAGACGATAAGCAAACCTAAAAAGCATCAATAACAATTGACTTATGTAAGTGCATTTATTATGTCTAAGTGCATTGAATACACAATAAACAAAAACTAACCTGACCCGAAACAATTAAAATACAACCAAGACTGCAACCCTAAACAACAACAAAGAGCCATGTGGCTGGCACCTCCGACACTCAACTAAATAATAAACGGAACTAAACGAATTATGAAACACATTTTATAATTTTCAAAATATATATATTTTTAAACGGTCATTAAGCATCGACTAAGCAGACAACAGCAACAAAATAATCATAACAATCTACTGTTTAATCATCACAAAGTGCAAAGCTGCATACATACATGCATACATATGTATGTACATACATATCAGCAATAAGTCCCCTTTCAGACACGTCAAGTCTTGCTTTCAAGTCTGCTCGTTCGTTGGCAAAGGAGGTGGGAAGAGAGGGGAAGAGTACAGATACCTCCGTACCGTCAATTCGTTTCAAGTTTTCGTGTTCCCTTTTGATCTTTTCGTTGCCTCCCATTTAAAGATCCAAGGACTTGAATTCAATAAAACTTGACGCGTGTGGAAGCAAAGAGAAAACACAAAAGAGAATGCGATAAAAATTGCTTTCAAGACTTGACGTGTCTGAAAGGGGACTAATAGCAGCTGGTCAATTCAGATATGGCAACCATCATAGCGGTGAAATAGACACGGCACAGCCAAATGAAAATGAATTCGTAACATTTCCAACTTACCTGGTATACAACAATTGCCTGCAACAGCAACAAAAATGCCAGCACCTTATGCGCTTAAGTGCATTGTGGCATAGTTTTCCAATGGCCTGTTGGCATCTTAACCCATAGAGGGTGATAGGGAGCCAATTAATGGTGTTTACCGTTGTGGTGTTAATAACAATTTGCAATAGTCGAGGGACACATTGGGATGGTACTACATATTTGCACATCAGATGGTTAACGATTTTAAGAGTTTACATCTACATCAATGAGGCAGTGGTTGATGGGCAGGTTGGGGATATTTCTTTTTGTTTTCGCTTGACATTTGTTGATATACGTACAAACTGCTGTTGCCTTAACACTCCAATTCTGCTTGGAAAAAATCACACTCAACTTGATTTTATATTCCTGCTCGTCGAATATAATCGCTCATTTAGATCCATCTAATTCTGGAATATTACAGATCTAGTTTCGATTGGCCTCCATGTGGTATTACGACAGCCAACCTTCTCAGCAGCTGAACTCTCGGCATACGGGAATTAGAAGCCATGTCTACTACCTCTAAGTGAGGCATACGAATATCTAGGCTGTGCTTTTATTCGGTATCGCCTTTGGAAAAATCGTCTGCTTTAGGTTTCTATTAATTTAGTAGTAATAAATGAATTTAGAAGTAATCGGAATTTAAATTTTAAACAAGTAAATTTTGAGCTTTCTTATAAGCCAACTAGCCCTCTGTGCGATACATTATTGTCGCGCGCCGTTGTGAATGATGACACTTTAATAAAACGCAAACAAGTATGAAAAAAAAAACTAAAGGAAAACAAAAGCGACAAGTGCCGGAAAATGAATGCGTGTCATTTGTGGTAAAAAAAAAAACAACTGACAGATGGCGGCTGAAACAATGGCATAGCAATGAAAGTAAAATTAGTAAAGAAATAGAAAAGAAAAAAATCAATGAAAGCGGAAGCCCGGTAGGTGCGTTTGCGCAGAGCTTATGGAGAACATGCGTTAATATAAATATTTGTACTAGGGTGTTCGAGATTTTCGACTTTTTTCAAAACCGGTGTTCGGGATATTCGAAAAAATCAATTTGAAAAGAAATGGTTCTTATTTTTTAAACTCAGCAAAACCGGTTAGACCGGACATTTGCTTTTAATTTTTCGCAGTTGGATAACGCTTACAATGGAATAGAACTATTGAAAATAGACGTAATAGATCTTATATTTAAATATTTAAAGGCTCTGCGATCAACTGGTTTTTTCCTACGTTGTTTAAAACCTGAACCTTGTCTTTTGTAAAATATATATTTAAATCAACTATTTCTGAAATAGTATCTCCGAGTTTTTAATATTTGTTATTAAATCATTTCGTGAACCGAATCCCCTCTGGAATCAGATGGGATAGAATACAAATATATTTTTTGCAGCTACCTTTTCGCCACAGTGCCTCAGAAAATGTGTTTTTGCGAAAAATTACTTGTAAGCTTTAGATGAAGAACCCGTTTTATTTGATAACAAAACTCCGGTTTATTTGATATCAG